TCAAAGCATACTGAGCATCTTTCTCTTTGACACCATGTCTGAAATCCCACGTGATCTGTCAAATACTAATGCATGAAAATCCTAACCTCAAAAAAATCACCCGTTACTATGGTTGGCTTAACCGAAGTTGGACTGATGAGGTTATTTTTTCTTTTATCTTTCTATTTCCTTTTTTTTGTATCATGGGTAGGCCAGGAAAAAAATAGACAACCCAACGTTTTCATAGGTTTGTTCCACAAGCTACTTGTACTGGCCAAAATTTTTCAGCCAATGCACTCGCGAAATATTTCGTAATGCATACATTAAATTTCATACAAAATAGATTTCATTCATTAAACAGATGGGTGAAGGTTGTGCCTTAATCGGATCTTAAACTAAAATTTCATGTAAAAATTTTACAAATCCTACAAATCGTTTTTAAAATACATATGTACATACATTTGGGTGTAGGTACGTATGCACCGTCGTCATATCACCCATCCTCAAACACCCGTTCTAAAATACTAATTAAAATGCCTCACTTAAAAGTCATTAACTGTAGCTATAAGATACCGTTGGTATTCTGTTAGGCAACCATTTAAGCCGCCAACACTCATTCATTTATTCATTCACTTATTCCACAGTTTGTTTTGACTCATTGATTTGCATTTCTTTAATTTTCGCAACAAGGCAATTGACCAATTTTCTGTGATTTCTTTTTTTTTGGATTTTTCTTTCACTTGACTTGTTTTTCTGTGATGAAAATGTTTTTCTGAAAAATACATTTATAACATCTCAAGCCATCAAAAAGCATCAAAAGGGTTATTTGTTTTCGGGAACATTTACATTCTCCTGCGGCGGGACCGCAAACAAATCGCCTTTGCTGTGAAAACAACGCTGTTATACCTTTTAATGTAGTCAGATTGGCTGAAGGACTTTCCTTTGACTATTTGATGGTTTTTAATTTAGTTTTACATTCGTTCACTATCTTCCGTTTTATTATTTTTTATTTAGATGAATGTTGATGAGTGTTTGGAGAGTGGGTAGCACGTACATATGTACATACATACATATCGTCGTTTAAAGTACAAAACCGCGTATCAATAAAATGCCAAACCGCGCATATGAGGTTGCATAAATTATTTTCTAGAGTAAAAACACTCATATTTCAAAATGGTTCTTGTTTTTTACAAAGCAATCGCCTTTCTGGCTAGTATATTTCAGGACGAATGGATAGGGATTGAGCCAAGAGCTTGTGCGAGCAAATCCAATTTTTGACAGAAAATGTCAGTTACGCGGTTTTGCAGAATGACTAAACGCGGTTTTGTACTTTAAACGACGATATGTATGCAGTTGATTTCATGCGCGACAATTTTTAGTTGGACTCTTTATTAAATTTCGTACATAAAAAGTGTTAGTATGTACATATGTACATACTAACAGACATATTATGGCAACAGCCTTTTTCCCAAACCGCTCTTGGAAGCTCCTTAAGCCCTTTAAAGTTGGAAATTTTACTAACGGTTGCCATGAAAAAAAATTTATAAATACATACATATGTATGTATGAACTTTAAAAAAAAGTTTTTAACTCGTCGATATAAAATTTTATATTACGTGCAAATCCATCTACATATTCATAAACGAAGGCTTGTAAGTGCTTCTGTGAAAATTTATACATGCATACTTTACTACATATGAAAGATGCACTTATGTAAGTGTGTTTGTATAGAACACCTTTCCGATTTGAGCGCGAGTCATACGCACCATATGAGAGTAATTCGATACTTTGCATGTAGCAAAAAACAAATGCTTAAGGGATCATATTGAAGACAGTGTTGTGCAAAGAATTAGCAGGAGTTTTTCTTCATAGCGAATGAAGTGACTAACAAAAAATATTATTAAAAATCCCTTCAGTAATAAGTTGTCGAACTGATTTATACGATAGTTTGTTTTGGGCATCAAAAGTTTAATCGTCATCTGCGTTCGGTACAATTAACAATTTATTAATTAGTCTTAGGATAATAAAATTTTAAGAATATATATGAAGTGCACCCAGTGGTACAACCATTCCTTTCCTGTGATCACCCAGCTTAGTAGTTATTTTGTGGACTTCCTCTTCAGTCGGATGAAAACATCTGGGCAGGCTATCATTTCTGTATAAAAAGGTTTGGGTGAGTTTCCAGTCTTTGGTTGTATGATATAACATATCTTTTGATTTCATCGGCAACAGTTGTGACTTTGATATCACGATGGATTTGGTTATTTGTGGCGTAATATGGGGCGTTTACAATGTGGAAAGTTTTTGATAGAAATCTTTGAAGTATTTGCTGCGGTGCCTCACGATACGTCTAGACTGGTTCTATAATGGTTGAATATATGAGGAGTGTATTGTCGACTGACCAGTGAGTTTTAGGTCGAGTGCCTTTCGTTTAGTTAATACGTGAGGTATATATCAAGGTATTTGGTTTCACTGACATTGTTAAAATATTATTTCTTGCAAATTTTGAATAAGCGATGGCGAAGGAAACCTTACGGCAAATGCACAGACTATTTCTAAAAGGAATTTCTCTGTTACCAAACGTTATCTCCTTTAATATTTTATTAAATTTAATGATGATATTTTATTTTGAAGGGGACAAGCTCACGTACATGCGAAAAATAGTCACGTTGTTCAAATTTAGTTATTTATTAAAAAAGGGCGTTATTCACTACGGGCGAAACTCGCGACTAGGCTGAATGAGAATATCTGACGCGTACAATACTCGATTGCTTCAAAGATAATTTAAATTTTTCGATACTGTACTTTCAATCTTCGTTAACCATTCGCCGATTAAATTAAGAAGCAATTCCTCACGAAACCGCAATTTATAAAGATTGGCGATTAGCAGTGCAAATCAAAAACCTCAGCAACGCGCCCAAGTTAATACAGGACGAGCTCAGGAGGCACAAGCACCTTAACAACTGAAACAAATTTATTTCGTCGACAACTCTGATATGGAAATCGATCAGTGCGATTAACTGTCGAATTTAACGCCAGATCATTGGAAAGTACAAGTGGTGAAAAAGTTGTGATCGCGGGAGATCGGGCTATTCTGCACTTTGAAGATAATAGCAGAAACAACGTACTTCACGAATTCAAAAAGAAAGTAACCAGATTGGTCCAAGCTCTGTTGTAATTAATGATTGAATAGCGCGATAAAATAATAACAGTGCTCATTGTGTTTTGTGGATAGCTTTCACAAGACATCACTACCTGCTTCATTCATTTTACTACTTACTTAGATCTGATTTAATTACTAATTCAATACTTTTGACTAAAATATATGATTGAAAGGAACAATAATCAAAAATGTTCTCCTGAAAGCCTTATATTTAATCTAGATTTAAATACCTTCATAAAGGGAAATTTTCATTCAAAAATGGTCGATTTATAAAGAATTTAAAGTCTTTGAGTTAAGTCCGTTGAGTTAAGTTAAGTTACCATAATCAGACTTTAAGTTTCTTTGCTCTTTTGAGACATTTTTGGACTATTTTATACGTGGTATTGCATTCGGCGGATACGAGGTATTGCGCGCCAAGCGACGATATGTATTAGGCTTGGGTAGTTCTTGAACTAAATGAACTACAGAACTAGTTCATCTCAAAGCTAAGTTCGTCAGTGCTACAATTTCTCTTTGTCAATTTTATTGTGGCTTATTAACAAACTTTCAAACTTTGTGCATTATTAAAAGAAAGAAATCATCGTAAAAATGTATAGCATTTCCGAGTATGCAGTTTTGTAACCCATTGAATTATAGTGCAAGTTTCAAATAGCTAGAAATAACCGTTGATTTTTTATATTTCTTTGTCAAGGATGTTACTGTATTCTTTCATATAAAAATAAAATCTTCCTTATCCTGAGTTTCGGCCGAAAAAAATACACCCGAAAATTTTATATCCGCCCATAATAAATACATGGAAACCAAAAGTGAAAAGTGAACCGGTTCGAGGAAAATGAAATTCATGATAAGGTTGAATTTGTGTATTCGGTAGTATATGGAAAAAATGGGACGAAAAAATTCAAAAAAAATCAAAATCAACGAGCTACAAAACTGTGTACTCAGAATTTTTTTTGAGGAAATTGAATTAAAAAAGCTAAACATGTTTACTTAAGTTTATTGATTTTTTTAATTATTGGACAAAGCTTGAAACTTGGATTTACTCGGGTTTTGTTATTAAATGAACATTACTTTTATAAAAGAATAACCGAAATTAAATAGCAACAAAAATAATATGTTAAAACTTGTCAAAATATGGTGCGGATATAATTATTTCGACCATACATTCGATACATACGAACCTATGTACATATGTTTATACTCTATGGATTTTCTAAAGTTTTTATACCCGAGCGCACTTGTGCACAGGGGTATATTAATTTTGTTCACATAACGGTTGTTTGTAACAGCCAAAACGAATCGAGATAGATATAGACAAATGTATACATAAATGATCAGGATGAAAAAAGAAATCGATTAAGCCATGTCTGTCTGTCCGTC